AATGGTGAAACAAAGAATGCTGTGTTGTGACGTCACATTAAGAATTTATCAGGGCTTTTAGGACAACACCCATAGTTGGTTGTTTTGGCATAAAACTTTGCCCTTCTGATCACTTCAAGTGAAGATTATTAGAAGTGTTGTCATCGCTTGAAAATGTTTAATGCATTGGTAAAAATGTAATAAATTCCCTGGTTTGAAATTATAGCTTCCTTCTATATTCCTGTAACAAGGTATAAACACTTAGGCTCATCAGGACAGAAGCATGAAGAGATTATTATACCAAGTACGTGATTGTCTGTGGTAGAAATTGTTCTCCACTGCAGCAGTCATTTCCCCGCCATTAGCATAACAACAGTATATCTTGGAAGTATATCAACATATTTCGTCAGCTTAGGACGTTGAAGTGGCTGACAATAGTCTACAAGCTCTTAAAAATTGCATTTTGTATATTATATACAAAACACAATTGTTGTTTTTATATGTGACTATTCCAGTGTTGTAGGAAATTGGAGTTGCCAATCATTAAACATGTAGCAACTTCGCAGACATTTTTCAAAGTTCCCAATGGCTCTTCGGAACACTCGAGTTTCTTTCGGAAAAGTTTATAACTCGGGATTATTCCAGCCATTTTAGTATATATTAATGTGTGCTTCCTACAACCAATCTTTTAAAATTTATGCGTAAATATAATAATTAATATTTAAATATTTCAATTAAACTTATTGATAATATTTTATATTGGTGTAAGTTCTACTTCCTGTTCAAAAATACGAAACTATACGTGCGCAAAGCTAGTTTTACACAGCTCCCGTTTATCGGACTCAAAATTATGACTTGACGGAACGCCAATGATATAATGACGGAAAGAACCGGAGTTTGAAGACGTGCACCTATCTAAGTTCTTGCTCTTTAGGTATCTGGAGCGTTAACCTATGTGACGTAGATACATGTCTCGACCAGTCTCGACGGACGTTGTACACTCTAGATATATAAAACTAATATATATATATATATATATATATATATATATATATACATAAATAAATGCTTATCTGCTTTATAATAAACTGAGGAAACTACACCTGGTTGTCGATGCAATTGTTCATCTGGGTAGACTAGAACAAACACGACAGGATTAATAGCATAACTACATTGGCTTACTGCCGTAATCGCAATTATACCGACGACCTTTGGTCAGTAGACAGACGCACGACCGACTGCGCTATGACGTCACTGATATCTGATAAAATAAACACAAATGTGGTGTTGATAAAGTCCATAATAATCAGAGAGTAACAAAATACCTAGCTATCGGTGATTTGTTTTAAAACTAAACGTAAATGTAGAACAAGGCGGTCATTGACACACTGACATATTACTTACAAGGCAGTCAAGACACATATTTACGAGATGTAGCCGCGTGTTGGAACATTTCATTAATCAATTAACCCAATTCATGCTTGTTTTCTCAATATAAATTTTAAAACTAAAACTAAGTTTGTTTTCATATTCTGTCTGAATGCGATAATATTGTCAGGATGTTTTTAAATGGTTTGAACAAGAAAGTCTGGCGTTCCACGTAGACGACACAGATTTGACCGAAGTTTTAACTTGCATGAGAGACGTCAAGTTTCTATTTACCCGCTCTAGGCCCATTATCCAAGGCCAAGTCAGGACAATACAGTGCCCAAAAAAACATACTTCCACCGATGTATGCCTTTATATACACAGAGCCCTTTACAAATATGAAGGTGGTGTCATATTCAATCTGCTTGTCCCCGAGTGTTTTGGTCGATCCGTCTTTAGATGACTATCTCTATCCGCGAGTTATGTGTTACGTGTTGTAATCTTTTTAAGATATGGAGATTAAGATTTGCATGTTAATACCACAGAAGAGATAATCTAGCTTTCTTTGTCCTTATCTGTGAACACATGAAATCTCCAGGTGTAAACGCAGACTTAGCATTAACTTATTTCAGATTCGGTTCATACGCAATATGAATGCCAATTGCATCATAGGAAATGACACGAGCCGCTTTTTTCTCATTTCCGTCTATAAAGGTATATATTATGGCTAAAGTGTTAATTTCGTGGTGGAATAGGCAACTCTCGTCCAGAAACCAAAGTATGATGACCCGAACCTTATTTCCTTGGTTTACATAGTGACATTGCAGCTTAGAATTGTAACCAATCACTGTGACACGCACGCTTAGGAATTTAACCTATCACTGCTGTGACACGCACGCTTAGGAATTTAACCAATCACTGTGACACGCACGCTTAGGAGTTTTTATTCAAAAACATCCTATCTCTCCTAGCAGAATCTCCGTGTATAAAGTTTGGCGATTTTGGGAAGAGTAGCGTATTTTATATGAGAAGTTCAATTTTGGACAGTGACGTACATAATGTAATTCTTATAGAAGCGCAATAGAACCCGCCATTGTGAGATTATATCTAGAATGGTTGCGGCCTTCACCTTCAGAAAAGATACCAAATGAACAGAGATATGAGTGAAGTTATGAAAATATGTTCATCGACTAAAAGTTAGAGTTCGGTCAAATTTCATATGTCTAATTTGATTTAAAATCGCATTATATTTCATCCGCGAATTTTTATTTTTTTCTAATATAATGTTTTGGTCAATCAAATTAACATTTTACCACGAATACGAGTTGTCAAATATCCAGGAAAAGATCAGCCAAGCCGTTGTCGTCTGCCTATATATATATATAGTAGTCCAGGGTTACCCTCCCTTTATGTAAGGTGGAAACGCGATATCTCTAATCGTGTCAAATATGTCTCGTTGCTTTTTCTCAACGATATTAAATGTATAAAGAATACCTAATGAACTACCTCTCTGGGAGTTCATCCGGGACCCTCACGTATCACAAAACAAGTCCGCGCTTTACAAGGGAGCCACCTACTGTCGGTTGCTTCGAGTCGCGACAAGAAAATTAAATGAAAGGAATAATTACCAAATTAGTTTTTCTATTTCTGTAATTGCTGTGAATGTTTTTTATTCCGCGGGACAGGAAGTTTGCTTTAACTCTAAAGGGGACGCGTCCGTCGGCTCAAATTACCTAATGGCTATGTATGTATCCGTGGTAATTGTGGTAAACAGACAAAATGTGGCAGTGGTAATTAACCGGGGACATATAGTGGTCATGTCGTAACTACTGGCTGTGGTGTAGTGTATAGCCGCTGCACCTCGGAGATTAAATTTAAAATAAAAATAATAACGCTAGTGGTCCTTAACGTCTTCAAACACATCCACAGCACATGCGTATCCTGTCAGTTTGAATGATGCTCGTGAATCGGAAAGATTTACAAATATCAGCTGGTTAAAACCACAATTACCACAACGCTGAGCAATCTTCTAGACGACTTCTGATTTCGAAATCTACATCATCACTGCATGGTCAAGTGTCCTTGGGCTTTATCACCTGAGCAATGACATGTGCCATTATGATAAACAGCCGACTAACGTGACAATGTGTTCAGTTGAAAAGTAACTGATGTAATATCAATCCAACAATGAGCCTACAATTATAAGAAAACATCTTTTTTAAACAGATCGATCAACCTGTCACCCGTTCATCATTACGAAGCTTTGGCTCAGCAACGTCATCACCGCGGAATTGTTTTATAAAATGAAATACAGTTTATTTATTATTTTATCTACACCGGAACAGTAGCAAGTCCGGGGATCTACCAGGAGCGAAGGTGGGTGATGAGGGGGTGGAGAGTCGCCAAATTTCCTCCGGTGGTCGAGTGGGTGATTTAAATGAGGGAATATTTATCTATTTTAAAGAAAATTGCCAGGCTAAGGTGTTCGGGACCCCCTGAATACCCGCCACTGCCTAAATATAAGTTAACACTGATGTCACCATTTTCTCCTGGGTCGAATTTGAAATGGTGACCTTGTTAATTGTTAATAAACATCCAAAATAACCAGACTTTGTGTTTTTTGTATTGAACGTATAACACATTCCGATTTTTGTACATAGATAAGTTAAAAGCGGTGAACAATATGGCTTCTTCGAACAATATATAAATGTTTACGGACCAGTGCACACGTACGAATAGCTCTGTACTGACAGTATGGACCCGTATTTGGCTGGGAACACCGAGTTAAGGTCGGTTATTACACACTGGGTTTAAATAACAGACACCAGGCAGAGGACAGTCGTACACGCCTGTACTAACTTGAAAGTTTCATATTTACATATATTTCAATGCAGACATCTTTAGGTCAATCGTCTGAAGACTTTTAGATATGCAGACATTAAAAAATAACAAGACATTCAAACCTTGTGGCCATCACCAGGCGCACTTTTATCCTTACATTTTACGACATGATGACGCAATACAGTCGATAGGGAGGTGATCATACAATGGTATTTGCTGACATATTTGCCACATTATTTACGATAATGAGCTCTACATACTTACCAAAGTTATGTCACGCGAAAAAAAAACCCGCTAGCATTAGTTTTAATATGATTAATTAAAGCTGAAAGTAACCGTGAACCGATACCACCAGTTCCAGTATTGTAAACAAGCCTTACAACACATACACAGTCTGTTCTTTTGCATGTAAAAGTTATATTTCTTTTCTTCTATGCATTTAATTTATACCAAGAATTTAGCCAATTCCTTTCCTCTCCCCAAACTTCTTAGTTTTATCTTATGCAAATAGCATGAAAACATTTTCTACACAAGTTTTCAGGACGGGACCAGCCCCTCCCTATTCGTGTGACCAAACAAAACGATGATAGCTATCTAAAGCAATTTACTGGTCCCCATTCAATTTTTAGATAATAAACACTTTCTACCATATGACCTCTTGACCTACAAACAGTCCTGTTTGACCGTTGTAAATTTGGGTTGTACCATATATACGACTGTCATCAGTTTAATCATGCATATTCAAAACGCATTAACACGTGAAATTCAAAATGCAAACATGCGTCTTTGAACAAATAAAAACATCCACAAACCTCCGCCGTTCTTGTAGCACAGATATGGAAACCTCCACACGTTTCCCAGGCCCACGGAGAACCCTATACAAGCCAGGAGAAAGTCCATTTTCGTCGACCATGTTTCTCTTTTGTGGAGCTTTTCTCCATCATCAACAACTTCCAAAGAATTCGTAGGATTTGATTCAATTTCTTTTTGTTTAGAAGACATTTTCAAAGAAGAGAAAAATCACTTCACAGCTAGCACAACCTCCGACGCCCTATATATTGCCAGTGTACTTGCTGATCACGACTAAGCTTTAAGTCGCTCGGCGTTCCGCAACGTTGATTTTGTCTACTCGTGTTTGTAAACAAGGAGTCTTTTGGCTTGTCAATGTGACATCGCTATTTACTGACGTTATCAAACTTAACCGCAACCGTCGCATGATGATGTTAAAATTTTACCACTTAATCAAACACTATTCATTTTATAAACAACTAAAAAAATATGCTTTAAGTTTATTAATCTTTTAAGAGTTTCTCAGATAACCCTATATTTGAGGGCCAGTTATACTCGTTCAGTAACACTGTTATATGTTTATAACGTTATAAACGGGCCAGATACACTGTTATAAGAGTGACTTAAATCAAAGAATCGAAAGCAGATTTGAAAGAAAACTTAAAGTGTTTCGCTATTTACTTTCTTTCTTTTATTTTTTAAAGTCCTTGAACAGGTAGTGACACAGACCCCACCTGTAGGTAGCACCTACAGAAGGTGTATTTACTGTACATTACTACGGACATACCTCCATTAGGATCCAGTGTTATACGGGATTTTACCGTCTATATTACTCCTCTGACCCTTACTGTACATTATAGATATATAGACGTAAAGATATGTCGATCTTTTAGAAAAACCGGTTTTGATAAAGTACTCATTGAACAGCACAGCACACACCCTTTACTATTATTATAGGTACAAATTGGGCGTTCTTGCAGAAAATTCTCCGAATGGTATTCAGTTGGTATCATTTTCTGTCACCTAGAATTAGAGTCTACCATCGAACACATTACACGGAAGTGCCGGTATAATCTGTGTACATACATGTAGCCGGCTACCCCGAAGGTCTCGGGTCGTAAAGCTAGGTGATCATTATATGGATGTGGGGCTATACAACACATATATATTCTGTGACACGTTCTGAGTCCGGTGACTCTCACGAGCTTCGTGTTACAAATAAATAAACACGTTACTGATAGGTACAATAAGAACACCTAAAACCACTGGAGCGCAGTGATGGAAATAACGTCTGACAACAAAAGTATGTCGGTTCAAGTCTAAATAATATACGTGGTAAGCCCGACTGTACGTGGTAGGCCCGACTGTACGTGGTGGGCCCCGACTGTACGTGGTAGGCCCGACTGTACGTGGTGGGCACCGACTGTACGTGGTAGGCCCGACTGTACGTGGTGGGCACCGACTGTACGTGGTAGGCCCGACTGTACGTGGTGGGCCCCGACTGTACGTGGTAGGCACGACTGTCCGGGGAGATGAACATGATCATTTATGATATGCATAGATCGTTCTGCAGAGTAATCGGGTAAAGATATCCGTACACTGCACCAGGTGTCACAGAGTAGAGAAAGTCGTCCGTTTTTAATTCTATATGATTTTAAATTTCACCACTTTGAAGAAAATTCACGGTAATCAATATTTTTACAAGTATTGATTTAAAAAAAATATATTTTGAAATGGACTCTTGCAATATGACATTTGTTTTAGCAGATTTTGTTATATGATTATGAGCCAATCACAGTCTTTGTTGCATACACTGTATAATTAAATTCGTCACGCTTGACGACAAGGCTGTGCGCCATTTTGAATGGGATAATCAACGCAATTCCGACGTTTTCTGCTATTTTCTGGTATGATTGCTTATAAAAATGTTATTAATTGTATTTTGATGTAAATACTTAAGTTTGTATACCAAACTTTTACCATAACAATCACTTATCCTACCGTCGCTTCATTTGAACCTGAACTTGACAAAAAATCGTTGCCTTTGAATGCAGCGAATAGAAGATACCGTTATGATTGGTCAATACCAAAAAGTGATATTTTCACACAGTGCAAATATCACTTTTGATATTTGTCACAGTGATAAGATATCAGTTTTATCGAGTTGATAGAATTCGATATTTAACATATTGTTACATTCCAAAACCTCACTATTTTGATTAGTGTATTAGTTTAATTTTCTGGTTATGTAGTACTGTTGCAAACCAGTTAAGTATTGAACAATAATATAATGTGATGTATTATATATATATATATCATGCTATTAATATTTAGAATTACAGGTATCTACGTAGGGGAATATTCAACCCAGACAGATAATGTGAACCCATTGTTTATTAGGTGGTATATCTGTATTACGAATACAATTTCAAATCGACGACGTAGGAAGCACGAGCCAGCATTGTTGTTTATTGTAACTACACGACACACACAGTTAAGTGGAGTTACCGCCCCTTTTCATTTATATTCCCGCTGCGCACTCTATAGTTACTGGTCGGGATCGCTATATCGAAAATTATAGCCGAGCGATCGGTTAATGGAGGACTAAGATGATACAACATGCATCAACATATGTGTACCTGTGTTTTCCACCTGTCTGCTGATTGCGTAACTCTGATCTGCATCGTTTAACACAGCCCAGGTCGTTCATCAGCAAGCTATTGACAGGGTGACACCCAGACCGGACAGATATAGGCCATTTATTGTAAACGTCGACACTAAATCTTTGTCACCATCTTACATTTACGTTTTAAGACGTCACGTTGTAATTGGATAATTCGATGATATAGGACATGAACACGCCTGATTGGATTGTATTCATTAAATGTCGAAAGAGGACGACAACAATAACACGTAGACCTGATCACCCTCACTTGTTTTATTGTGGTATTTAGAAATAATTTAATCATATATTGTCCTTTGTCATCGTGATCCATTATTATTCTCAGGGAAACAAATAATCATGTTTTCCTGCCACAAAGGTAATACGGTATGATAGGGGAGTTCTGGGCAGTGTGGCAAACATTTGCTGATTTTTCTGTGTAAGCTAATTATACAACATTTGTAACAGAAATTCCATGCCTTTCACGAAAAAAAAAGGCAAAACATGTCCGCATTTCAGGAATAACTTTTTTTTCTGTCGGCCTACGTTTGAATCGTATTATTATGACGTCATAAAGCATGCAACACCAGATTTTCCCGCCAATTTCATTACTTGTTATGTGTTGCACAGGCCGTTCTGTTCCAAATTGATATTCTAATAAGTTCGTATATTACAGCAACACGAAAGTCAATGCTAGGCTTTTATATATACAAGATTACCATCATGAGAAGCTGTCAATTTGTTACACGTATGACATAAATATGACACATCCTATACACTATTCCTACACTTATATATAGAGCGAGTGAGTTTTTATGAATTCCTCTCATATTACTTATATTATATGGTTTGGGTCTACTGCCACATTCTAATTAATTTGACAGGTCACACGTTATTTGGTTGGTCGATTAAATTAAGTTACAATCATATAGCCTCAATATACTGTCAGTGAAGTAGAGTGGTCGGGTAGACAGTGGATAGCGCAATCGCCTTTCACCAAGGCGACAGGGGTTCGATTCCGATTATAATGACGTCACGAACAATAGCCTTACCCCAAAAGGTCAATGCAATTCCGCTTCATTTTGAATTCATATTTCTGAACAACGCACTCAAAAAACACTCAACCCTTCGTTTCTGATGTCAGTAGATAGACTATTTGTTAGAATAGGGGTAGTTTGCGGCGGTAGCTACATAATTATACATAATTACTTTACTATATTGTCATTCATTTCCTATGTCTGATCAAGTCCTGTGTATCCGGATTCATGAAACCATTCTCGTGCTCAAACTCACATTCTGTGCCCAAGCCATTTGTTGTTGTTTGTTTCGGCTTTAAGTAAACAAAAGAAACGGGTAACTATTTAAACAAACTTTTAAAAAAAATGCATATTGTTTTACAAATTAACTTTTGCGCCCACGTTACTTAAGTGTTGTGTTATATAGTTAAGTTATATATGACGTTGTTGACTGGTGAGAAACTGCTGCTGTTTAACCTGCTATGTTTGGTTTATGTCTGGCGGCTACATGCATATTACATACACATTGACAAATGTTAAAAGCTACGGGTATTTGAATCAGAAACCTGTTTTCAGTGCATGTCATAATTAACAAATTAAACACGAAGTTATTAAAGGGTGATGCTGGCTCCGCCACATAGCCAGACTACCAGACTCCTATGATCATAATAATCATATGTATAGCAATACTAAAAACCTATAAAAAATCAACAGATGTATGACATATATTAGTTCGTCTGTTCATATACTGATACATATCACATATTCTGTATTTATATCACACAACAAACCTTTTTAAAGAAATAAGTCATGTTGAAAATTTAACCATAAAATTGTTAAGCTTGATGCAATAAACCTAATACAATGGTATATGCTACTTTCATCAAAACTCTCGATGGCATAATATTTTTAAACTCTTTGATAAATAGCATAGTTTTAAGCAGGCTGCAAACCATGACCGCTTCCGTGTATCGCGACCCAAACGGTTGAACCGATTGGACAACGTTTATGAAGTAAGATCCGACTTAGTAGGTAATCAGATGATGTTTTCAGGCGAGACTTGTCAAAGCCTTGCAAGGCCTGCATATATAAACAAATGTTACATTTAAAAACAGCCCAACCGGTTGTTTGGCATATTACCGTATTATGCTCATTAATAACCCCTTCTTTTATAGTATAGATGAGGGTAGGAATCACGCTACCCATACTACTGATGTTAGATTAGCACAGTCTCGGTAATATTTGTATAGGGTCTCCACACCAGGTCCGACGTATGAACGGTATCTACTTTCTTTGAATGCAGCGAATAGAAGCCAATAATATAATGTGATGTATTATGTATGGGGTCTCCACACCAGGTCCGACATATGGACGATATCTACTTTGTATAGGGTCTCCACACCAGGGTCGACGCATGAACGGTATCTACGTTGTATAGGGTCTCCACACCAGGTCCGACTTATAGACGGTATCTACTTTGTATAGGGTCTCGACACCAGGTCCGACATATGGACGGTATCTACGTAATATTTGTATAGGGTCTCCACACCAGGTCCGACGTATGGACGGTATCTACTTTGTATAGGGTCTCCACACCAGGTTCGACGCATGAACGGTATCTACGTTGTATAGGGTCTCCACACCAGGTCCGACATATAGACGGTATCT